AGTATCACGGCCGCTGGATAAAAAACGTGGTTTTTTTTATTCTGTGGCCGTGATAGTACCTTCAACCAGTAGTGGGGCACAACCCAACATCGATGTCCCATCACTCGTTGAAATCAATGCCTCTCCTTCATTCAATAAATACGAATAATAAAGACGAAATAACAATTAAGCATTCCCCAATGATACCCAATTACGCAACATTCACGCGATACCCCCACCACTCTGACGCATTTACTCGAGTTGTTATTATTGGTGATGCAACAGCATCATCATCAGCTACACACTTATTGCTGGTGACTCATGTTTCAAGGGTAGCACTCGTGTAACTTGGCTAAATTTCTCATTTCAGTTTGGTAGGATTTAGTAAATAAATCTGCAAATATTTTTTAACGTGATGTCACGACCACAGAAAAGTACATAAATCAAGATAACGTGCTGACATCGATGATTCATCTGTGGAATCAAGGTAGCTGTTGCACATAGATTCCTTCTTGCCACCACATATTCATACTTCGGCACTTGAAACGCTGTCCCCAGCTTTCATTGCAGCCGTCCAAAGACTTTCGTTGCACTTCAAGCGTCAGAGCCCAGACACACAAAATACAAACATGCATGTACTCGTCGGAAAAAGAAAAAAATGTTTGTAGTACCGCTCTGTTCCTGCAACATTGTCGTTACTCGTTGTCAAGGCAAGGTACACAGAATACGCGAGTAGTAGTTATTCATTAATTTTTTTTGCAGAAAAGTATATTTTATAGGTGCGCAAATAAGGCGGGGACGCAAATCAATAGTAAATGCAGCAGTCCAGGTTGAATCGGATCGAATCCAATCCACATTCTAAGCGGCGTGGGTTACAGCCATTATAGTAAACTAGATCATACTCCAGTTGCAGAATAGGCCAGGCTCCCGTCTCCTCATTTTACACGGATGCCGCAACATGGCACCACTTCTGCATTTTTTAGCAGCTTTCACTGCGATGTCGAACTATCGCAGGCTTCTTCAAACTTTCATCTGTATTACTTTTAATTGGTGTTCTGGTTCTTACAAACATCAAACAGCTGACATGCTCACTGCCTAGCTCAGGGGTTTTATTTTGGCCCGACATACATATTTTTTCACATTTACCACATGCGCCTAGTACATTCTAAGTGGGTCTGGTAAGTATGTTATTTTATATGAGGCACCAGATTTCTTTTACCACTGGAGGGTTTGTTTCCAGTGCACAGTTTTCCAAGCAGACGTGGCAATCATGGAGTTCGCTTTCAATCGTCATGGAAAACCTGGAAAAGTCGGGAATTTAGAAATATCAAATCAGTAGACACCCTGTTAAATCAAGAAGTGTTTATGTGGACTCGGTGCTTTAAATGCGTTGAGAAACGACAGACGAACGTGCGGAAATGTTTATCTTTTTTCAACGTTCCGGCAGGAGGGCCTGCCTTGGTGCCGAAACGTTGAAAAAGGATAACATTTTCTGACGTTCGTCTGTTCTTTCTCAACGCATACAAAGCACTGGTTCCACAAAATCACTTCTTAATATATATATATATATATATATATATATAGTGAGCATTATGCGTACGCTTCATCTTATCACCTGTTGATAATCATCATCATCGCTTGGGTCTGAGTGATTGCACCGCGACACAAAAGGCTGAGAGAGAGTCGATGCTTAGCCAGCCGGGCACCGCAAAAAAGGCAGCGTTACACAACAGGCCAAGACTGTTAAGCAAAATGCATTTTCCTTTCTTCTATGATAAATAATGAAATGACTGGTGGTTTGGAGCAAATGGTGTCACATTATGTGATATCTTAAAGATTGATTTTCTAGAATGTTTGTAACGTATCAAGACATCAGGGTGCAGGAGTGTAAAGATGTTAATGCTGTTTCTCTATTGGTATCATGTTATTTTTAACCTTTTGAGCTTCTGCTTAAAGCGATACTTGACTTACTAGCCATTCCAGAGGTGTTACTTGTCGGTTAAGTCATTTTCGGTGCTTTATCTGTAGTGCTCCGCTTGCATGTAAGCACAATAGCCTCCAGTGATTATTTTTCTGAGCATGGTTAATGGACTTTAATGAAACTAATGGGGGTGCGCATGCTAGTAAGTTTGCTTGTTGTGAAGTGCAGCAAGGGGCAACGCCGAACAAACTAATATGTTTAGAATGCGTTTTCTTCTTGTCCTGCCGATTCATGGTATGCAATTTACTTACTGTAACCATGCTTGCCAAAGGAAAAGTTTATTGCAATATTTTTAGGTTCACTATTGCTTCTGTTACCTAGTCTGATGCTTTAATCTCAGATGGTCGATTTTGTTAGTGTTTGCAGTTTCCCTGTGTTATATTGCAAGTTAGATGTAATGGTTTTGTAGTTTGTTACTACAGTGGACAAATGAAATTGGAGAAAGTTATGGTTAACAATAAGATAATCTCCAGTGCCTGCTTTCTGCAGTTTGTGCTTTGTCAGCACAACTTCACCTAGTGTATGCTCCAAATTTGGGGCACACATTATCCTTTGAAGGTTCCCTTACAAAGAAGTCTCTGCTTTGCATGTACTTTGTACATGCAATTGGAAAATAACTTACAGTACAGAGAAAACCCATTGCATACCTGCCAACTCTTGTGACTTGCCTGGAAGACTGCTGAAATTTGAGCAGTTGTTGTATGAATCATACAGTAATGGACATAAATCTTTCAGGAAGTAGCCCTAGCTCTATTGTGAAAATAAAAGCAGGCTGTTCTATAAACTTCTGGCCTTGGTCCATCTATTGCGAACAGAGTGCTTATGTCACTTTCACTGCAGTACGTTAGTGTCATGCGGAAAAGTCTACTAGTATCGTGACTGGGTTATCAGCTGTCATGGTTCATGGCACATTTTGTCTCTTAATTGCTTACGCATGTACACACTGTATATTTGGGAGTGTCAGTACGTCGCTGATGTTAAAATACTTTACTGACAATCATTCAAAGGTATCTATGGCATTGCTGTGGCCCAGAAAAACTAACAGAAATGGACGCACTTTTCTTTCGTCAGATCGCCCCCATTCCTCTTCTCCCCACTTTACATATTTCCAGAATTTCGATGTTGCCAGGTTAGCACGTATTATGCATCACAAGAAAGCAGAGCAACGCACAAGCTCATCAGCAGTAGAAGTTCTGGCTTCTACTGCCCTGCTAATGTATGCGCTTCTGTAAAGATAAGGGAAATTAGTCTACATGTTCTGAAAACTTGATGTAATTGGACAAAATTAAGATGTTTTGGCATTGAATGCAAGTTATGATAAGCTAGGGCATGCAAAAGCAATATGAACGTGTACGAGATTCTCTTCTAGGTAAATTATCATCTGGATTCTTGGTTTATATTGAGTGAAGTGCGTCAACTTTGTTTTGAACTTCTTAGCATTAAGCAAAATTCACATCAAACCTTGATGATGGGTTATGCATTCACTAAATTAATTCCTAGTGGCAGAAGCGTCATGTGTATGTCTTTCAGGTAATTTATTAATTTATTTGCATTCTGCTCTAATTCTAGTTGCTATCCTTAGCTGGTGTTATGGGGGGGCCTTGAATTGTATTTCTAAATCACAGTTGTCCCCTTTGCTTATGCCACACAAAAAACTAAATCACTGTACAGAAAATATATCCCATTCAAGCTTTGTTATTGAAAGGGACCTGAATGACATTGTTATTATGGTAACTATAAGCTTTAGGAATAAAAACTCAAATAAACAATTTCTTGCATTCGATTCATTTAGCAAGTGTAAATAATTGCTTTGTTTGCTAATATCAACGTTTGTATTTTTGTACATTATGTAATCATGCTCTTAATTACTGTCATGTTTATGCTTTGATTTTCATCTCACTAGCAATTCAGCACAAGACATAGTACTAGTGGTGTACACTGCCATCGTATTATGACCACTGTAATTTCTCTTAAGGGAATTCATAAATTTCAATCTACGTTGATAACTAGATGTCTTATTTCTATAGTGATTCATTATTAGAATGAGCTGCATTGTAATCGGATTAGCTGGCTGTTGTGACGACATATTTTTATTGTAAGTTAGCAAAGTACAATCATTTGCTGGTCGTTTTGTAGTGTCGATTTTCAAGTTGTTTTTTTCCCTTTTTTAACGTTGCAATTTTATTTCGTTTGAACAGGATGGGTGCCACCAAATGGGTGCTCAAGTAGAAGTTTCATCACCACCATGGAAACTGCTGGAAGAGTTGAAAAGTTCAAGCAGAGCCTCTCAGCAGTGTTCTTATCATTGACTGATTTTCTGTTGTGAATAAAAAAAGTTTTGTTGTAAACAGGGTTAAGGTGTGCTGGCTCGTTTTTCTATGCATGAAGAAACTAAACAAAGCTCACTATAACATGTCGTTTCAAATAAGTGAACAAACCAGGTATCGAGCTTTCGTTTAGTAGCCCCAAATTCTTTTCACAAGCCGCACATTTCATCTGAGTACCTTCAGCATACATGCGACAGTCTTCAGGGGTGTGTGTTTAGAACTTCATCAGCTGCTGCCGTCAATGTCACTTCATTTCTTTGACACAATTCGCTTGTCTACATCTAGGTGTTACCACTTTCATTAACCAAATAAGTTTTGCATGCTTTCATGAATAACCAGAAGGCCTTCCTTATTTGTGGTCTCATAAAAGGCTTTGCTCTTATATGCAGTCAGTAGCTAATATTAAAGATTTTTCTTTTCAGGCTGGCAGGAAGCAGGTTGTTTGAACCCAGTTTGCTGCTGCAGTAGAGAGTTTTATGGAAAGTTGATTCAAGAAAACTGTTTTGGCACTTCAAATTCTAAATCATGTAATGCTTATGGAAATTGAGAGATGTGCAGAATGTTAATGTTTGCATGTTCAGTCATATGTTACTTTTATCTTTCTAATACTGGCCACTGTGATTTGACATTTGTGTGAGCCTACCTGCGCCAAGGAAGACTGCAGGGTATGTAGTAATGCAGTACAAAAGAAGTGCATTCATCTTTTTTTCCAGGACGCACCGATCCCTTGCCTATCATCATCAAGGAAGACATCATGGGATTTGGACGAATGGAGATGGAAGTATGATACCACTAGCCATTTCCGTTTTGCTCTAGCTTAGTCCATTAATTGGCAAGGCTTATACGGATTGCATAGTTTCACAAATATTGAAAGTGTAGCGCGAACAAGCAGTGTTGAATGGCAAATGAGTCATATGTATGTCCACCAAAATGTAATTTGATTCAACACGGTAGATCAGCCACACTGCAACGTGGCACTTAAAATTAGTGCCCTGTCCGCGATCAGAAGGTCCAGAGATGATGTAGTAATGTTACCTGACGGTACACGATTTGGAACATTTTAAACAAGTTCTTTGGGAGTAGTCACTAAGCATGGTGATGCTTTATTTGTAATGATAGATAGTTGATAAAAAATGGATTTTGCTAGAGATGTTTTTTGCAGAGAGAGCATTTTGCTATTTATTGCCTTCAAGAAGTTTTATATCAAAATGTTGGCTCTGGTCACCAAGACAACAGTGGAGGACACATTGGTTATAATTGCTGTAGTGAAATCCCTTGTTCGATCACTTAGTCATCCAGCAATTCTTCGTCTCTTATTTGGCTGTAAGTTTGCCTGCAAGCCGTTTGTAGCATACATTAGCTCAAACTCCAGCATGTATTTTACTGACATTGTCAAGATGCTACCTTGACTCCTTTTTGGTTTGATGTTTGACCACTTCCAGATGGACTACGCAGAGGAGACAACGGAAAAAAGGAGAACACTGGAGATTGAGAAGGAAGAGACAGAGGAGCTCAAGCTTAAGTACAAGGTATTTGAAGTCGTTCTTCGCTGCCAAGCATTTTCCTGTTCTTATAGGTAATGAATTGCTTACCCTTTACACTTTAACTCTTCCAAGGCCGTCCAAGAGAAAGAAAAGGTAGTCCAGGAGGCCCTGGCAAGTCTGAAGGCCAATTTTTACTGTGATCTCTGTGACAAACAGTACACAAAACACCAGGAGTTTGACAACCACATCAACTCTTACGACCATGCGCACAAGCAGGTATGTTGCAAGATCTACATATGCTGTCGAAACAAATAAAATGCTGCCCGCTGCGAGAAGAAAATGAGCTAGCCACCTTTAATAACAAAAATTTTTTAAATCTAATAGGGGCCCTGCAACACTTTCTCAGTGTGGTCGGAAAATGCTGCTGATCAAAGTTGAGGCTCCTGTGAGCATGCGAGTTGAACATCACAGAGCAGCATGCGACATGTAATTTACAGTCAATTTTTAAGTCAGTTAAATATCATTTCTCTTGGCAAATGATGCCATAATCCCAAATTACAATATCATAATTTTTAAAAGTCCACAGTTATTGACTGATTTGAGCATCGTAAGCTGCATAGTTGCCACGACCACCGCAGCATGCCACCACGTGTTGCCACGACCACCGCAGCATGCCACCACGTGCTTGCACGTGCACTCGTGATCACTCTGAAAGTAAGGACATAGGTTCTTTTTCTCTGTGTGATTCTTTCTGCATAGCCTTCAGCGCACTTACCATTATGGAAGGAGAGAAAAAGCGTGCGACGAATCTCTCTAACTCCACTTGTACTGACAGATTCTAAAAATGTTTGCAGCAGTTGGTTTGCAAGGCGAACTCTCTTATCGAGGCCATTCTATGATTACTCAGAAAAGTGTTGCGGGGCCCCTTTAAGTGCACAGAACAGGAAGAGAAGAGAAGGAAGTGTATATTGGTGCAAACCCAGTTCCTACCAGCAATCCAGCCTGGCATAGGTGACATGAAGGGCAATAAAGCAACGAGAAGATAGCTGACTAGGCTGGCCGTATAGGCTTCTCGCTATTGCTCTTTACAGCTCTTTAGGGGGCAATCGATCCCAATAATTGAAACACTGTGCACTTCCTGACATGTTCCTGTGCATGAAGCGTTGTTAAAGCGGTGTGTATGTCAGTGTAGAAACAACCTTGCAACCCAACAGAAGTTCCTGTGTCTTTAGTGCCTGCCTACCGTTGTCTGAAAAACTGAAGCAGAGTCAACCAAATAGCAAGTTTTCCATTGTTTGATGGTAACACTTTGACAATGCCTTGTGTAAAAGGTTCATCGAGACTTATGAATTTGCCAGAAATTATCATGTATAAGAGTAGGTGACACTGCTTGTTGCTGATGTATGATGAGAATGTTTCCTGGCATAACAAAAAAGTGGTGGATCAAAATGATGTGTTTTAATCAATTACATTAATCGCTTAACTGCTTGATTTTTTTGGCACTACTGCACACGCCATGCCGAATTTCTTTTTGGGCATTATGCAGAAATCTCTGTTAGCAATGCAGTAGAATGCCGCTAAAGACATGTAAACATTTTTATTGGAAATTACCTCATCGATATAAAAATAACTTGTTACAAACAATAAATAATTAAAATTAGTTTTCACAGATAATAAGTTAATAATTAATTACATATTAAATAAAACCATTTTATTCAACATCTGAATTAGTCGAGAGCTCCAGAAGTTATGCTTCTGTCGAATAATGCACACCGGTGGCATGTCGACTCTCTATGACTGCGCTGCTGAGATGTGGGCAACAAGACGCGAACCAATGCTTCGTGCAAGCATGTGCTCTCTCAGTTGTCGAAAATTTCACCTCAAGTTATATGTTATAGTTGTTTATATGTTCTCTTCATAAATGGTAGAATACACCCGTCTAGTGTTTTTTGAAATTATTATTATTATTATTATTAATAAATGATAGTTGTCTCGCTAGTGGCAGGGAGTGATTTGAAGAGGCAAAATGAGCATGCTTGGGTTTATCAGGGCTTGTGAATTTGTCAGCCACCCGAGCTACCCTGCGATCGGCAGTGAAAGACTTAAAGAAAGGGTTTAGTATAGAACCACTAGCTGCGTTTGCAATGTGGTACTCTACCGACAAATTGTGATGGCTCTGTGATGGTGTTCTGCTGCTAAGCACGAGATCATGGGTTCAGTATTGTTTGTAGCCATGCATCGATGAGAGTGGAATGTAAAAACGCACATGTACCTGGATTCTATACTAACTGAAGGTTTCCAGGTAGGTGAAAATTAATACAATGCCCCCGAATATGCGTGCCAAACCAATGCACAGGTAGACCGATACTTGTTCATAGGATATAACATGCTAAACCAGCATACTTGTTCAGCATGTTAAATGCCATGAATCAGTTAATTGATAGGCATATTGCCAGCCAGCACCTTGAACATAAAAGGAACCACTAGTATGGCATGAATTCAATGACTGCGTGACGTGAATGGCTGATGCAGAGACTGAAGGAGCTGAAGCAGCGCGAGTTTGGCCGCAACGTTTTGTCAAAAGTGAAACGGGAGGACAAGGGCCGCGAGAAGGAGCAGCGGCGCCTCCAGCACTTGGCAGAGCTGAGGGCACATGTGGCAGTGATGCGGTGAGTGGTGATCCTATTATTTCGGTTTGCTCTGCACAACTAGCTTCCAGCATGTTTTTACTCCAACTTTCGTAAGGTCTGAGAAAAGTCTCACAAGGGTGCTAGATTGTTTCTTCAAAACTATGTTTGGCCACTGTCGTGCGGTGATGTCTGCTTTGAGGTTTTTTGCAGCGCTGGTGAAGATTAAAGCACAGTAAGCGGTTAAGGTGGTTGCTTGGGCATGTTGCTACGACATATTGGAGGGAAACAGCGCGAAAGACAAGAGACCTTGCAAAGATACCACAGCAGCAGCGCTGGTGTATGTGTCCTTTTTTGCCTCCTTGTCTTTCGTGCTGTTTCCCTCCTTTGTGACCGGACACTCTCTCTTTTTCTGGCTAAAACTAGATCTGTATATGTCACGTTAATGATGCAGTTGAAGCCTGCAGGCGGAATGGCATAACTAAAGAACTGATTAGGTAAGCTTTAGTAATTACTATGGTTTACCAATTACTCTCTACCAAGATGCTACTAATCTGGAGACTAATGTCATCAATATAGTCTGCCGCGGTGAATCAGTGGCTACGGTGCTCTGCTGCTGACCTGAAGATCCCTGCCGCAGCGGTCGCATTTCGGTGGAGGTGAAACGGTCGAGGCCCATCTGCTGTACGATCTCAATGCACGTTGAGAAACGCCAGATGGTCAAGATTTTCGGTGCCCTTTCCTACGACGTCTGTCATAATCATAGCGGGGTTTTGGGACTTAAAACACCAGATACTATTAATTTAATCAATATCATAATTGTTATTTATAGTAGGTATAAATATGAAAGTTCAGTACAGTTAGATATTAACACTCTTTCTACAATAATTACATCTAGGAAGCAATAAGTTTCTTTCTACATTGAGGGAATAAGCCTGCTGTGGTTGGCATTGTTGTGTCAGCAGCAAACGTGCTGTCCCTCTCAGTTACTCACTCTGTTTAGAAACGTGAACATCTATTCTTGCTATTTAACCATTTGAGAGATTATGGGGCGAATGTGTCCCACTTTTTCTTGTTCAGTAAAAGCTTTCACCACCACATCGCGTTGCCATTAGCTCTACATTTTTCTGCTACGTTGTATCAGAAAAATTTAGGAAACCTCGAAAATATATTTTGCACATTTGCAGTCCATAGTAGCAGTGACACATTAAGGATTTTGTTCTGTTGAAGTTTTTAAAAATTGGTGTCACATTGTGTGCAAAATAGCTAAAGTTCTAGATTTGTGGTATCTTGCTGCTTTTCTGGATTATGAGGAAAAGTAATTTTAGTTTGCAACTATGGGAACAGTATATAGGTCAAAAATCATGTTGGAAGTGCACTTGAATGAAAAATGAATCAGTTTTTTGCTTAGCCCAACTATATAACATGCATTTATAACTGTTTTTTAAAATTTGATTGGCATTATTGCATCACTAAACAGCACCTAATTACGAAGTAGGCCCTCCCCTCTCTTTCTCTCTCTTTTTTTTTAAACCACTACGAGAGCAGTGTCAATGAGACTGAAACCTGTGGCTAAGACTGTTTCAGAACTTGAGAGCCAAAGGAAACCAATGACAAAATTATTTTTTAGACAGCCAGGAAGCAAAAGAGAACACGAATATACAAGATCTTTCAAAATAGCTAATATGTCAGGCCTGAATGGAGTTCACGAATTTTATGCAGCTGTTGCAAATGCACTTACAGGATTCACGGCGCAGAATAATTGACTGCGCATCGGGCTAGATACTGACAGTATAAAAGGACTTGAGCATGTATGAAGTGTCCCTCTGTACTGTTTGTATGGGGGCTTTTCGTGCAAAAAATTTGGCAAAAGAATTACTGCTTAGCGTTGTCGTGAGGCAGTTGGGACACGTGTTGTCCCAATTTTTCACGGTAGCTTCAGGAGTCAATGGGACATATACGTCCCACATTGTTTTTTTTTTTCTGTGAGTGTGCTATTTTTTTGGCTTCATACTATTGGCTTTATACTTTGACTTCATAATACTCAGACATCATTAAAACGTAATTGCATCTTACACAAAAATAAGTTTTTGATATCCAAAAATTTGTTATAAAGGTGTATTTCTAGCACTATGTCTATTGCAAGAGTACTCTTTATTTACTTAATTATAACCGATATTTTCTGATATTGAGGTTTGAGTGTATTTCTTAGCACATTATTTAGATATTCCAGAGGCCTTATTTCTGTTATTATGCCAAAAATATTGATAAACCCAGAGAGACTTGAGGGATGGTTGAGTGTCTACTGATACGAGCAATAGTATATAAGCGATATATCTTCCTGCTTTTTTTACTAACCACCAGTGGCCTGCATAAGTAAGCACACACTCATGTTTACTGCTTTCTATTACTTTCAGCTACATAATGAACTCTTTTATGTTTATTTTGAATGTTGCCGTTGTGTTTCCTTGCTGCAGAGGCCCCATGGAAATGGGAACTGGAGAAAAGTTTCGAGGACGCTTTCAGCAGGTGGACTCTGTGGAAGAGACAAAGCCACAAGCGTCCCCTACAAGGCAACAAGCATCACAGTCTCCTACTCTCTATGACAGCGATGAATTCCAGCAGGATGCTGATGAATTCCAGAAGGATGACAATGAGTGCCAGCAAGATTCCAATGAAAGACAACAGGAGGATGCAAATGGATTCCAGCAAGATGCTGAAGAACGTCGGCAAAGCATTGAATGCCAGCAGGATGCTGATGAAAGCCAGCAGGATGCCGATAAAAGCCAGCAGGATGCCGATGAAAGCCAGCAGGATGCCGATGAAAGCCAGCAGAATGCCAGATGAAAGCCAGCAGGATGCCGATGAAAAGCCAGCAGGATGCCGATGAAAGCCAGCCGGATGCCGATGAAAGCCAGCCGGCCACCACTAACACCAGTTTGAGTGACAATGAGGAAATCGATGCAGGAAAAGAGCAGGATCTCGAAAGGCAGCCTGAAAGCCCACCAGCAAGTGCACCAGAAGAAGGAGAGGAAGAAGTGAGCATCCCACAAACAACCTTCTTTGATGATTGTGACATGTTCGAACTGCCACCACTGCCTAGTGAGATTCCTCTTCCCAGTGACATTCCACCTCCCCCGCTCCCACCTCCATCCTTAGGCCTTACCATCTTGGACCCTGGTCAAGAGAAATACTCTCCGGAAGAGCCCACACCTGCTCTTCCAGAGCCTGCTTTGCCGGAGCTGCCGCAACCTGTCGTGCCTGATCTTCCAGAGCCTTCATTGCCTGAGCAGCCACAGCCCTTGGTGTCTGAGCAACCTCCGCCTTCCACATCATCCGTAGAGGTGCCACTGCCAGCAATAGAAGAGCTGCCTCGCATCGAGGAGTCCAAGTCCAAGTTGCTCATCGGCAAAGCATTGGCTAAAAAGCGACTCATTGCATTTTCTTTGACTTCAAACCAGCCCCTGCAGAAAGCCTTGGAAGTCAAGAGGGCAACTACAACAGTTACTACTACTGCAGCAAAGCCGGTAAAGGGCGCCTTGTCATTCAGCTTTGCCCGTAAGAATATCGGAAAAGTAGCTCCCATCTCAAGTGCGCTGTTCAAGGAAGATGACGACCAGCCTGATGAGGAAAGCTCGGATGCTACTGCTGCAGATCCAACCAGTAACGAGGCACAGCCGGCTGCTACCGAGAATAAAAGCACAGAAGAAGTTGAGAAAAACGAAAAGCCAGTCACCGAGCCTGAGCAGCAAGAAGACGGTAACTTTTACTTTGTGACCCCTCCCAAGAGGTGTAAGGTGAAGCCAAAGTTCGAATTTGTGAAGTTTCTTAAGAGCGATAAGTTTGAGCTCAAACTTCCTGATGATGCTGTTGAAGGAGTTCCGGAGAAAAAATTAAAGATTGAGTCTCAGGATGAAAGCAAGAAACCGGATTCCGAAGAAAGTCGCGGGGATGCTAAGAAAAAACAGCAACCTTCTAAAGGTGGTGACAAGAGTGAAGGATCTACAAAAAGCAAGACAGGTTCTCATGATGTCTCCTCTCGAAATGGCAACAAGAAAAAAGAGAGTGCCAAAACAGAAAAAAAGGACCGTGGCAGAAGTCCGCACAGCAGTAAGCACTCTAAGGACAGAAAGAAGTCGTTCCCGTGAACGTAAAAAAAGTCGTTCCAAAGACAGAAAGCGAAGTCACTCCAGGGAGCGAAAGAGAAGCAAATCCAGGGATCGAAAAAGAGGGCGATCCCGTGAGCGGCGTCGCAGCCGTTCTCCGCGAGATAAAAAGAGGAGCAAGTCAAAGGATGGAAAGCGAAGTCACTCTAGAGACAAGAAGACATCTCATGCTAAGGACACAAGAAGGAGCAGGTCAAGGGAGCGACGGAGGAGCAAGTCCAAGGACAGGGGCAAAGACAAAGCCGACCACAAGAGTGCAAAGGAAACCAAACGGCAGGTCACCTAGCCGGGAGCGGAGAAGTCGCTCAAAGGGTCGTGCTAGGAGCAATGCTGACAGTCAGAAGAAAAAAGAAAAGTCAGCAGATGACAAGAAAAGCAAAGAAAAGCATACCACTACAAAGGACCACAAGAAGAAGGATGTAGCACGTATAGAAACGGCGAATGCAGAGCCACAGGCTTCAAGTCCGGATGCACCACAGGATGATAGCACTACACAAGCAGTGAACGGGGACGAATCTACTGGTGATCAACAGGATGAAGAAGAAGAGAGGCCGGCTAAAGGGCCATCACATTCACCAGAATCTTTTTCCAAGCAAGACCAAAAACAAACCCCTGATTTGAGCACTTTGCAAACTCCATGCCCCAAAGAACTTGATGAGGCGGGTGTGTGCTTGGAGAAAAATGAGCCAGTTTTGAACCTGATGTGCGAGGACAGCCCACTTGACATTATCGGAGAAGCAGACAGTTATGACAGCGCAGACGTGGTCCAGCATTCACCATGTAAGGCACCAAAAGTGTTATCCAATGATAAAGTCTCGCTTTATGATGATAAAGTCGAGACACGCATAGACTGTGTCGCCAAGCAGCAAGTTTCTATAGCTACCTGCACTGTTAAGGTGGATGAAAGTGATCGTCGCAGCAAGCTCCGAAAGTCTGATTCTAAGCCTGATTCCCTTCCACAGATCTGCACTGACAAATCATTGCGTGAAGAAACAAAGAAAGCTTGTACAGAAACCACAGCAGTTAATCAGAAACAGCTTAAAAGCCATACTGGAAAGATCAAGAAAGCTAGTGACAGCTCTGAAAGCTGCGATGATTCCATCAAGGCACAGCAAAAGTTCTTAGAAGAAATAGAAGCTACAAAGAAGAGCGCTTTTGCGACTGTACAGAGACAAAACTCTGAAAGCAAAGCAGAAGCTTCAGAAAATAACAAAAAGACTAACAAGGCTAGCAAGCTGAAGAAGCCAAAACCTGAAAGCGCAGAGCTATCGACAACGGAGCTCCTAGCCCTTCCAAAGGAAAAACCTGCCAAAGTAGCTAAAGAAAAGCGAAAAATTTCAAAAGATAAGTCACTAGAAAAGAAAAAAAAGAAAGCAAAGGGGAAGCCTAAAGCGTCTTGTTCAAGCTCAACGTCGTCATCGTCCTCCTCATCATCGTCTTCAAGTTCATCACGTAGCAGCAGTTCGAGCACCAGTGGGAGCTCGAGCAGTTCCAGTAGCGACTCAGACTCTGAGAGTTCAAGCAGCTCGTCTTCCTCCAGCTCTAGTTCAAGTAGCTCAAGCAGCTCATCATCTTCATCCTCTTCTTCTTCTTCGGAGTGTCCTCAGAAACTGAAGAAAAAGAGGAAGAAACTGAAGCTGAAGTCAAAGATGCTTAAGGAAAAAATGGCAGCAATGGCTAGAATGGCAAACAAGGCGGAGACTGCCAAAACTGTTCTAGCATGTGCCACCATGCTCACTCAAGCTACTTCTGCTGCGAACAAGCAAACACCAATAGACAAGCAAACAAAGCAGACGACGAAGCATGTGGGTAGTGCATTACATGCCGGAAGTGTGTCACAGGCTGCATGCACAGTTGATGACTCGAAACCACCACAGAAGCTTGTGCAGGAGGTTATTGCTTCGAGAGGTTCCACCGAGCAAATTACCCGTAAAGGAGACATCAAAGCAGGAGGTTACTGGTTTAAGAGGTTCCACCGAGCAAATTACCGTAAAGGAGAAATCAAAGCAATGGGTTACTGCTTCAAGAGGTTCCACCGAGCAAATTACTGTAAAGGAGACATCAAAGCAGGAGGTTACTGCTTCAAGGGGTTCCCCCGAGCAAGTTACTGTAAAGGAGAAATCAAAGCAGGAGGTTACTGCTTCAAGAGGTTCCACCGAACACGTTACTGTAAAGGAGAAATCAAAGCAGGAGGTTACTGCTTCAAGAGATTCCACCGAGCAAGTTACTGTAAAGGAGAAATCAAAGCAGGAGGTTACTGCTTCAAGAGGTTCCACCGAGCAAGTTACCATAAAGGAGACATCAAAGCAGGAGGTTACTACTTCAAGAAGTTCCACCGAGCAAATTACTGTAAAGGAGACATCAAAGCAGGAGGTCACTGCTTCAAGAGGTTCCAATGAGCAAGTTACCGTAAAGGAGAAATCAAAGCAGGAGGTTACTGCTTCAAGAGGTTCCACCGAGCAAATTACCGTAAAGGAGACATCAAAGCACAAGAGAAATTCAACTTCGCAAGCTAGTGTTAATCTCGATCCAGTTGAACCTAAAGACTGTGCACAAATGAGCAAGAAAGGCGCGGATAAGCTGCACAGTGCTAAAGTTTCGGACGGAACGTCCTCAAAGAATGTCACTGGTGTGACACGTGATCCCAAAATTCTGCATTCGAAAATGGAGACAACTTTGGATGTGGATAAGGCATGCGTTGACATTGTGGATTCTAATTTGAGAATTGAGAAGACTACTTGCAACGTTGATAAGGCACATGTGGTTGATGTTGTGGATGCTCCGTTGAAGATTGAGAAGATGGCTTTTGAAGCAGGTAAGGCATGTGCCGATGTTGCAGATGTTGCCGTCAAGACTTTGAAGCGCTCCAACAGTGCTCGTGAGAATAGAGTAGATGATAATGAAGCCAAGAAGCTTGATTTTACTGCTGCTAAAGTAAATAAAACTAGCCCAATGGGTAAGGGAGCTTCTGAATCTTCACCATCAAAGTCTAAAGCAACTACATCTGGCCCAGAAGTCAAGGGAAGCTTCAGAAGCCAATAAAAGAAGCCGTCGAGGTGCCTTCAAGTGCGAGCTCCTACAGTGCTCATACTGAGAAACATGTCGACACTGGGCGTCGAGGAAGCACCGAGCGCAGTGAAGAAAAAAAAAAAGACAAGAAGGACCACCCCCCAGGCAGTCGACGGCCTGCCGTTGATGATAAAGCAACCGACAAACCTGACAGCAGAATTAGGAAAGAGAAAAAACGGAAGAGCGAGCCATCTCCAAGGAATGAGCCCGCAAGTAAGAAAAGGGCTTCCGAGGAGGACTCGCCAAGATCAAAAAAGTCTGCTAGTAAAGGAAGCAGCCACCGATTGCCAAAGACTGACTCCGCTACTGCAGAGCATAAGCAACCTCTTTCAAAGCAGGAAAAAACCAAAAGTGAAAAGCCAAAAAAGGAAAGTAGAGAAGCAGCAAAAAAAACTAAGGAAGAAATCATTTTGGACCCAAAAGAAAGGGAAAGACTCAAAAGTGAAGCTTTGGAAAAAGCTCGAAAAGAAGGCAGCGACTGCATCAAAGTGAAAACACCTGATCGAAAGAAGGAAATCAGTTGGCCTATGAGTCTTATTAGATATACTAACAGCAAGCCATTTATTTCATATGGTTGCAACCCTATTTATGGCAAAATCGGTATAGCAGTTGCAAAGGAGAAAGGGCCTGCGAAGAGTAATTCGGAGGTGAAAGAAGAAAAGAAAGAAATTCAAGAAGCGCTGAAAGAACCTGCAAAAAAGGACAGTCGTAGCAGAGAGCACAAACCTAAAGATGAAGTACCGTTAGTTGCACCTGTTGAAAACAAAGTGTTGTCTCCCCCTAAGGAAGTACTAGTAAAAGAATCGGAAGTCACTGACGTTGTATCTCCTGACCTTAATGCAATGTCGGGACTTCAAGCTTTGCAGTGCCTGTATGATAACATGGATAGTCCAGAGACTGCAGTGAAGGAGCTGGACTCTGAAACCGAAGTAAGCCACCGCGAGGCTGATCAGAAGGCTGCGCCAGAAGAGACACCATCAAGCGATCAGTGTGAAAGTGTCGAATCGGACACAACTGGACAACATTGCAGTGTCGTTGAAAGCACACCACCCAGCCCAGAAGTTCTTGATGCAAAACAGCCCTCAAAATGTACTCCACCAAGAAGTCCCCCCAGAGCAAGAATTGCCTGAATGTGAACATGGAGGTCTCGTCAAAACCACAGCCCTTCATAGCAGAAGAAACAGAATTATTACTCAATAAAATAGAAATGACTGCTGAATCTGAAGTGTCCGTAGAAATTGTAGAGCGAAAAAGTGCTCAGGAGCACCAGTTGGATGTCATTTCACCGACCATCACTGAGCGTGCTCAGGAAGAAGTTGGGCTCCCAGAGACCGAGAAGAAAGGTGACATGCCCTCGCCTGATGCTATGGATGTAGCTGATGATGTGGTTGACCTGCTTTCAAACAGCGATATTTCTTTGGAAGAAATGAGGTTATTGGAGTACAGTTCACACATCACAGTTGAAAGCCCAGCAATCATCGAAACTGCTTCCGCAGAGACAGTGGAAAGCGTAGCTGAGGATAGTGAACTACAAGAGAAAATAGCTATTAAAGTGGATTCAACAACAGAAGAGGTAGCAGTTCCTCTAGCCCAAGCACACCTTCTCCACCCAATGAACGTGTGTGCCCCGAAATCAGTCAGGTGGCACCACTTTGTGCTGACAAGGACCTCACTTCTGAATATGAAAAGTTTATGGAACAGCTTAACCTTGGAAGCTGCATCGAAGTAGACGTAGTACAGGAAGTTGAAGTGCCCAGTGAAGATGGTGTAGAAGCTGAGCTAGCTTCAGATGCCGTTAGTTTAGCACCAGCCGAAAGGCAAGAATGAACTGGATTCTGTGTTGACCTACCCGATGCCAACACCACTGGTAGCTTCAGTGCGAGACGAAGCACCTGAGGTGCCTATAGAAGACATTTGTGCCCTTGAGGTGGCCTGTGAGAGTGAAGTCACCAGCTCTCCATTTTTGCCATTTGTACCACGACCTCCAGCCCCTGTACCTGCACCTACCCCAGCCATTGCGTCAGCCCTTGGTGCAGTCACTTCTTACCTTTCCCCCATTAGTCCTGCTGTTTCGGACAGCCTAGCATCTTGTGTTCTCGCTCCCATTGGGTCCACGATTTCTACAGGAATTCCCATTGTTTCGACATTGCCAGCTACTGCCCCATGTTCTGAACCTGTAGCACCCGTTGCTGTTGAAGCTCCACCTCCTGTCCCTGCTCCAGCAGTTTCAGCTGCCACGCTAGCCGCGGTGCCCGTAATTTCATCTCTTCAGTCCACTGTGCCATGTGCAATTGGCAGCCCCGAGCTTGTGCCGTGTCTCCTTGCAGCCACAAGTGCAGGTGTGCCTGTTTCAGGCTCGTCCGCCTCCTCAGATTCTTCTAAAAGCATTGCGCATACAATTAGCTCCGGTGATGTTTCTCTTTCACCAAGTCAACCTTCTTCATCCAAGAGGTCGCACAGAAAAAGACACAGTGACAGTGTCAGAGCAGGTACTGTTGCCGAGGGTGTTTCACCATCTCCTCCTAAAAAGAAAGATTCAAAACATAGCTCACATAAGTCTGCGTCTCAAAAGCTAGATCTCTCTGTTCAGCAAGAAGTTTCCAGTAGCAAAAGTGCGCCACGTCCCATCATAATCAAAGTGCAAGCAAATTCTGAACCAAGAATGGAGTCGGCTGCGCCTCTGATCTCACAAGCAGAGAGTGTAGATGGCTTAGAATGTCTGCCTGTTGAACAGTCAGCACCAGACGTTTGCGCTGAAGTAGAAGTTGGAAGTGACATCTGCACAGAGGAGCAAGTGGAGTTTCCATCCTCAGATGACATGTTTGTAACAGTTATGGACACTGAAGACATAAGTCTCGCTGCTGTCGAGGAAGTGGCATGCTCATCATCGGATGACCTCAACAACAGCTTGGCAGTGCCTGCAGAACAAGTCGAAGAGAAGGAAAGCTCCCCTCCACCACCTCCTCCGCCGCCTCGATACTTGAGGCTTAAGCCACGCAAAGGGTCATCGTCGTCGTCATCTGTGAGTTCATCCAGCGCCGTAGAAGAAGTTCCACCGCCGCCGCCACCACCACCTCCGCGACCACCTGTCCGTTGCTTGGTGCTTCCTCCCCCACCTGCTGGTATTCTCTTGCCAGCCGGCAGGGGCACCCTCTCAAATGAGCCGAAGAAGTCTGTCACTTTTGCTGATGGCATCCCGCCTGGCAAAGAACCCCCATCAAGTGGAGGCGTCCCTTCACCACCACCGCCTCCACCACCACCACCTCGTGAACGGAAGCACCGCACAAAGGTCAAAGTTATCATACCGTCATCCATAGCAGACTCCCTGCCGCCACCCCCTCCTCCCCCTAAACGGCCACCTCCTCCAACGGCTGCAACGTTACCTGTGTCGGCTGCTGCTGTGGTTACGACCGCAGCTCCCGCTCCTCCTCCTGTTGCTGTGGAAACTGTGGCTGCTGCCTACCCGCAGTACCAGGTGCACTTGCCCCAGCAGGCCTACCCAACTGCTGGATACACTGTCCCATATAACACCTATCCAGCGGCAGGCTACGCCTACACAGCCACAACACATCTAGGGCAGACAGTAGCTTACACCTACGCACCTGGGCAGGCGACTCACCAAGCTATTCCTGTACAGCAGGTGCAGCAAGTGCCCCCTCAGCAACACCTCTATGCCAATGCTACGGCTGCTTCTTACGTGTACCACCCACACCAGATTGTACCAGCAGGTCCAGCTGTGATGCAGCAGCAACAGCAGCTGCAGCAACACCCACCACCTCCACCGCCCCCACCTGTGGGACAGCTACCTCCTAGGCCACCCACGTAGCACTTAGTGATATCGTGCACTGCAGTGATTACTTTGTAAGATCTTTTGTGTTGTGGTTTCATGTGGCACAAGAGAGGACCTTTAGAGGAGCTCAGGCTCCATCGTGGGCTCAAGTCATGGGTGCTTGCCATTTTCCCAACCGTGTGTAACTCCATAAAAATTACTGAGGCAAGAGCTCAAAGCATGATTGTTACATCGTCTTCACAGTGATTGTTTCGGCCGAGGCCGCTGTGCCAGCTTTGATTTAGAACAAGGTGCATGTCACTTAGCTTCTGTTTACAATGTACACCTTGAACATAATGCATTGAACATCGTTATAAATTGTGTAAATATACATTTTTGTTATTCGTAGAATAAACGAAATATTCTTGTGGAAAATTTCACTACAGGTATTTCCTTTTGATAAAAATTTGGTGTAGTGTGAAAGCGTGTGTTCTAAATAGAAGAAAAAACAGTTTTAAACGCTAGTTGCAACAGTGTTAATGTATGTGCCACATGCAAACAGTATGGTGTAGTACTGCCAGCGGTACCATGAGCAAATAGGGGGTTGGGGATTATTCTTGCCCTTTAGCAATTTTCTTTCTGCATGCGGCACTTTATCAGAATAATGCCTGGAAACTATGCCTAGCCATAGAATGAAGTAGCTGCTAATCTGCGAGACCAGTGTCTATAAATATGCATGTCAATTGCTTAGGATTATGCGCTGTTGTAACCAGCTAATTAAAAATGTCAAGTACCTACTAGGTGACCCTGGAACACTTGAATTGCAAGCAATATTTATGCTGCAAACACCTTTTTTTATTCAGTAATTGGAAACAACTTCATTCATTAGTAATGCAACTCCATTCATTAGATTGCATTACTTGTGTCCATGTGCTTTGAGTTGTCAATGAATTTGCCTTCACGCTGGTTAGCCCAATTGGTAGGGCAACCGCCCCGAAAGGCTTTGGTCCCGGGTTTAATCTCTTGACCAGGATGAATTTTTCTTCGGCTACAAGAAGCTCTTCCTTCTGAGAAATCTCTGCAGGTTTCCTTGTGAGTTTGTGCCACAAACTGGTGGTTCTCTATTTTTTTTTCCTTTCTTAAACCTTCCACCACCTTGTGGATCTCTGCAGAACTCTTGTCTCCTTGTGCTTCGAGTTGTCGATGAATTGGCCCTCGCGCTGGCAATTGCTAGCTTCCTGGTTAGCTCAATTGGTAGAGCGGCCACCCTGGAAAGGCATTGCTTTTGGGTTGGATCCCCGAACCAGGACAAATTTTTCAGCAACAAAAAGCTTCTCTTTTTGAGAAATCTGTACGGATATTTTTCTGGCTTTGTGCCATAAACAGGTGGTTGTCTATTTTTCCTTTCTTAACTTCATAAATTGTATTGTTAGCTTTGGCTATGTTGATCTCCAATTTGAGATCATGAGGGAGGACTTGTAAATGTTGGTTACACGCAAATTTTGAGCGGAGATGCTACTTGAAAAAAAAAAAAAAGTTTCTTGGATCTGTCACCTAGTGCAATGAAATGTTAGCTCTTCTATATGCTTTTTATGCTGATTTCAAAAATTTATTCACTTTTATATTTTGAATAGTTTTTGTTTTGTACCTTGACAACTGTAAAGTGTAACTTTTCTTGGAAACACTTTCTCTGGGACTAAACTTTTATGGTTAAGAGCCATTAATGGCTTATGTTGCTTTACATTAACTGTAAGATGCAAGTAACTAACAAGAAAATGTGTATAAGATAACTAAATGAACGAGAAAAAGTAATGTTAGTAGTCTTGAATTTTTTAGCCCATTCTAATTGCTTACTTCAAGTTCATAACAAGTATATTAGGGATATTTGGTTTTAATGGAGATAATTGAGCCCTTCACATGTTAAGAAATACTGTGTGAGGAATGCTTCATCCCAATCTGGTCATCACAAGTATGAAGAACATGCTGTCCAAACTCGAGAAGTTACCCGAAATTGCATCTTGAGAAAAACACATATTAAATATAGAAATTAAAGCTCATCTATGTGGCAAAAATATGCTGTATTAAATTATTTGTTCCATCATGAGAGCTTGGGAATCATGGTTATAACTCCTCATACGAAATGCAACGGCAAGCAGCCATGAGACAATTTTATGGGGACTCTTAGACAATGAGTTCTTAGTTATTTAAAACACTCCTCATGCTCTTTGAAAAAGATTTTAACTTGAGTTAAGATACAACCCTGATTTTTTTGTCGTAAAAGTAGATGAACAACTTGTGAAAGCTAGTAAAAAAATTTTAATTTTGGGAACACTCGTTTTCCAAATAGCTTCTTCCCTTAAGGTGCCATTGAGGCAGTGTTTTGCCATAAGAGACAGTCATTCAAGTCTGTATATTATTGAACTTGAGTGTGCACTGCAAAAAAAAAGCTGCTAGAAGTTCTTCATTCAAAGTAAGCCCTGAAAAAAAATTCTCTTTTTTTTTAATGGTTCACCCTATTTACGAGCAATATCCAGATATTTAGTGGCACAGACCTTCGTCGTACACTCACAGCCTGCCTTCAGTAGTAGTGGGATGCAAACATGGTCCAGTTGTGAAGTTCGCAACTTTAAATCGAATGCATCCAGTAACATTGCAAACAAAACATTCTGACCAGCAATTGAAGGCATCTGCCCTAAGTATGTCAGCCCTTTCCAGCCACATCAGGACTGATTTTAACCTTGGCATCCACGTGGCCACAGAAGGCACGCCGGTATGGTTACACCACGTCACAACAAACGGCATGTTGACAAAGGTATTGCAAGCAGCTGTTCTATAATAATAAACTCCACCTTTTATTGTAAGACATGCACCCAGAACATGCACATGATTGAATTTGACGAGTTCATGCTTCCTTATAGGGGACCCGAGCCTCTCCCAGAGATTGATTGCTAAGCTCATTTTGTGTGCAGATAGAGGGATCTCAAATACATTTTTGAGGGTGTCAGTTGCAAGGGCCGAGACAGTAAAGAAGGTTGGATCATGGGTGACATGGGTGAACTTTTTAAACAAAGTTACAGCTAATGTTGCCATTTAAGGAAAGCTTTCCCCATATCTCGCGTAAAGGTCATTTCTGAAGGAAATTTGACATTTAGGTTTCGAGAAACATCAATAGTGATTTTGGGAAAGACTGCAGTCTAGATGCCTGTTCTGAAATGTAGTATTTGTTCCACTGTTATGTTATATATTAAAACATGGCGACTGCGTGGGCGTGACCAGTTTTGAAGACAATAAAACTTTATTTGGGCCTAGGTGGTACATATCTCCGAATTTAAATTAAAAGCACAAACACAGAGCACGCCCCCCCCCCCACACACACACACAAAAACGACATACACGAGCGTTGACTACCAACTTCATTCCTTCATTTGCCAATGCAATGCACATTAATGTTCAAGTCAGCCTTACCGCGCATATGCGTATACAACAAAGCTTTAGACAAGTGAAACGGCGATGAAAATAGTGAATCAGATACGCGAAGAAACGGTATTCAAATGAATGCAGGGACAAACTATCTCTGATGCAAAGACGATATATTACCGCCTAGGCGAATTTGTCTGTTCAAATCGCAAATCGCTGTTTACAACTGCTGTTCATATAGATGGACTTCTTTATCGGCATTCTTGTTCATTTTGTGTGTGTGTGTTGTGTGTGTGTTACCTGAGTCGCTCGTTCGTGCATCTCCCCTTTTGGCCGACGTTGATCTTACCACGAGGGTGAGTGATAATGACATTCAAAATATCCTGGAGAGGCGGGGCTATCGTAGGGTGTTCTCTGGTCGTGGGTTTCTGTGGGGCCGTTACGACCCTCAATTCAGCCTTCCGTTCTGGATGGCTGAAGGAGGCTTGTAGCGATGTTCCGGGCCCTGGACCATTAATGCTTTGGACCGACTGTAGTTGCTGCTTGTGTAGTCGTTGCCCTTGAGGACTTTAAGCCTCTTGGGTGTTGTGCTGCGCTGTGTGTAGGGCACAGCCAGAGTGTGTGTCCGAAGTTGCAAAGTGAGCATGTGGGCGGTGTTAAGGGGTCGACTCTGTGGTGTTATAAGCCGCGGCCTCGCGTAGAGCGCACTAGCAGCCGGATTTTGCTGTGCGGCTCGAAACCTTGAGGCGGTTTATGGCTCTTAAGTTGGTTCTGTATCAGGACGACGCATGCGTGATCTACACAGACGTGGCCGCGGTTGCACGTGCGTGTTTGCAATCTTCCTACAGTTAGAACTTGTGCTTTAGGTTTTGGGTGCGTTGCTGGGAGGGCGTGTTTTCGTCCACAGCAACGTGAAGTGATCTGGAGTGCTTGGTTTATCACGTAAGAGCGGGATGGCTAAGGGGGCGGTGGCCGTACGCGACAAGTTGAGGCCGGTGGTGGTTCCCATTTACATAAAATCACCCATCACTTGAAGAAAGTTGCCGGCAGACAGGAGAAGCTTCAGCGGCGTTGTCTGCACCGAACAAGTTGTCGAAGCTACATGCTCCCGCACCTGCGGTGTGACCAAAGGATGATGCCCAATTCGACACGGCCCTAAGACTCGTATGCAGTCGGCGTTGTTTATGCCATCCCGCTTTCATGTGACAAGACTGACGAACGGGCAGACGCACAAAAAATTTGCAAGAAGGCCGATCAAGAAGCGTACAACCCATCTTGTGGCCCATGTGAAGGGCGATTTGAACAGACGATCTTAGGCAGGAGCCAAAATGAGCATGCGCGGCTGGCCCACGTGGTTTTTTACATAATCAAAAGAGATATCGTCTATGCGTCATAGCTCCTCGTCCCAGCATTCATCTGAATACCGTTTCTTGTCGTCGCGTATCTGATTCGTCCGAAACTTTTGTTTTGTACGCGTGCGCGGTAAGCCGACTTGGACATAGATGTGCATGAAGGAATAAAGCAGTTGATAGTAAGCGCTCGTGCGTGTCGTTTATTTTCTCCGGGGGGCGCGTTCTGTGTCTGCGCTGATGATTTTAATCCAGGGACGAAGACAGTCGTGTTCGGGCCGGCCTGCATGAGATAAGTCTGTGGCCGCGTGTTGGAGACCACTAGTTCGGAAGGTGGATTTGCAAATACCTCGTCTAAATCTTGTGCTCGTGTGTTCGGAGCATGGAAGTGGGGAATGAGGTTGAAACACCCAGTTTTCAAAAGGCGTGCGGCAGCTGGACGACAACAGAACCGACTTCAGTGAAAGAGCTACCACCAGCGCCATGCACCCTTCGTTGGAACGAACAAAAAAAGGTTAACACTCTCTCCCTTTTTTTTTTTTTTTGAAGGCAACTTCACCTAATGTGAAAAGCATTGTCCAAAATAGCAACAACATGCAGACAGAGGATTGAAGGCATGGAAACGATTTATTGGCGGGTCTTAGTTCATTTGTGGACGGCTATCAGCTCGCTTGAATTAGGAATCAAGTCCATGTACATAAGAAACCTGTACATATTCACAGGGACGGGCAATGTGTTGAGGTACTTGAGCCTCTTCCTTCCTACAGCTCTTCGTACGGCAACTCTGCACATGGACTGTAGTGATCGTGGCTTGTCTGTAAAAATGGTAAAAAGTTGCTTATAAACAGCTTGTTCAAACCTGCACATTAAACTGCACTCAGAAAAAAAAAGGCATGCAACATCAGCTTGAGCTGTGCAAGAACGGGAACCTTAAAAAGCTCGGCCACAGGTACACAACCAATAGCTACACTTTTAAAAGAAATAGAGGAAGATGCAAGCATCCACAAGCTTGCAACTAATAAGAACTTGTACTGCCACAAATCTAAATGTGCACAATCAACCACATTGCCAATAGTTGCATCCACCTAGGTTTCTCTAACACGAAAGCACTTTTACACTTGGCATAATGACCATGGCCTTGCATATACTCGTCTCGGGAGTGCAAATTAACAAAAAGCAGCAATATACCCACAGGAGGATGAACACCGAGTGGAAAGAAAAGGCAAAATGGCACTGTACGTATACCTCAACTGTCACACTAGGTTTGAGAATAAAGTATGAAGAATGTAGAACGTTTACAGTGTGCGAAGCCAATGTGCCTTTCCATCAGACTTAACGACGCAGTTGCTATTCTTGGCATTGCAATCTGTGTGCTGTAAAATTTAGGCTGCTAAGCGCCACATACTTATCAGCTGCTGGAAGAGCAGCTTGCAGGGGCCGTCCTGGGGCAGTTGTGTGGCCAACTGTCCACGGACATCACGCTGCCAAAGGTGGCCTCCGAACTCGATAAAAAGGACTCCAAAGCGACTTGGGCAGCGATGCCTCACCAGAACATGAGCTAAGGAGACCTGAATAATGACCACGCAGATAAAAGTTAGTTCTACAACTCAAGGCAGCACTCGTCCTGCACTTCTACAACTAGCATCAGAGGTTCCAAGCTCACAGTAGTAGCCTTAGGCAACTTCCAATGCATATTTTCATACTTGCAAAGCCTCGAGAGATTTTTCTCGCGTGCAACAAGGGTAACACTTAGAGCAATGTTTGCAAGATGCTCAAATGCAACTTAATGCTTCCATAATTTTAAATTTGATCTCTAATGGTGGGCACCCTGTCATTGAGATTATTGCAACTTTGTGGCACAAAGCGAAATTTGCTCGCATAATGATGTGGCTTGTAGTAAAAGTAAAAGGTGCTGCCAGTATTTCTTATAACTGTGCCTAATATGGCAGCAGCAGTAATCACAAAAATGGAGTGAGCCAGCATGTGCAATGACACCGTAAAGCATCGCAATGTATGGTGCCAGAAAGCATGCTAAATGTGTGCATCAAGACAGTGCCATAATATCGCTATCAGTGCATACTGATTGACTGCTTGAGGAAAGGCGTGCAAGTAGTTCATTCAGTCATTGGACAGCCGAGACTACAGGTAATGAAAAGCAACACATTTTGCAAAAATGATCTCTGAATATGGTGGCTGACAATAGGCATTATAAGAAAGTGCTAAAGCATCCTTTTTAGGCTCGCTCCTGTTGATATGCTGGTATCTCAATAGCAATGACAACATTCAGAAAAAAGTTCTTGAAACAAAAGTATAACTTTCACTTCCCAAAATCTGATAAATATGTGGGCATTGGGAACTGCACGGCAAGTGTAAATGAGACCTGGAATTGAATTTTGTAGTTTCAGTTATTTATTTGTAAAAACTCATATCACAACTGTAAGAGTGTTAAGCTGGTTAGCACTCTGTGTGGGTGTGTGTTTGCGTGTGTGCGTGCACTCTTTTCTCTTTTTCTTGGACAGTATATTAGCATATTCCCGAGAGCTTTGATACTATTATATAATGTCTGCTGCTTTAGATTTTAGGTATGATTGTTATATCTCAAGCAATATTTTTGTTCTGAATTCAAATCTTCAAAAAATGAAATAAAAATAATTCAAATCTTCACTGAAACAGGCAGTGGTCAATATTTCACAATCTTGTTTTTTTTAATTTATAGATTACTAACTCATGGAACCAACATACAATAGTGATAAATTTAACTATCATTGTGCATATACTGCCTGACCGAACTCAAGATATTCCATAAAGCAGCCCTGTAACACAAAGTAATAGTGTTCTTTACATCAATTCTTCTCGAACTGTGGCATGCACTGATATCGTTGTGGGAGCGGTGAAGCCAAAAACAAACCTGTTATAATTTTACTTCTATTGAGAAACCACAGTGTTCTCGGACTAGAGTGACATACAGCGGCTGTTTTTGTGGTAGGAAGTGGCGCTTTAGCACGTGGCGGTGACAACATAGGATATGCGTTTTGACTAATTCGACGCGACAAGTCGAGCGAAATATTCATACGGTCCCAGATAGGCCACACTATTATGTGCTAAAGATTACAAAAGCACTTTATGTACTTCCTCAGATACAAAAAAAAACATTTGCTTTAGAATATGAAAATGTGAAAGCAATTGCAAAATGACACTTGGAGCACTGCATGACAGCCGTCACTGAACCAAGAGGCGAGTGATTAGATTTGTCTCTTGAGAGGTCACGGTGATTGGAAACGAACATCAGTGGGAGAGTGAAATGCAAAAAGGGGACATTATTTTCTCGTCTGCTGGGGTTTTAAAGTTTGAAGGCTAATATCTTCCATTACTGCGAGCCGATTTCGATAATTATTTTTGCACTCATCTCAGTATTAGGTGCTACAGGATTCAAGCGCTAAAATATTGCAGACGAAAAAGTGTTGCAGGGCCCCTTTAATTAGTCCATACTTTTGTTATTATTGACCATAACCCAGCAAAATGACTTGCTCGACTGGTTGATCATGACTAACGGAGAGACAAATGAGTGAAACAAAGAAAGAAAAAACACAACCAAGTGACATAAGTGAAACATTAGATAAGTCAAGACTAACCAGCTCATCTTTGAGAAGTTTCTTGTCATTTATTTCAAAGCTATATTTCCATTACTGGAAGCTAAAATAATGGTCACAGCGTCACTTTGAATACCGTGCACTAACTTTGGCACTTTTATGAAGTCTGTTTTTTTTACCCCACCGCGGTGGTCTAGTGGCTAAGGTACTCGGCTGCTGACCTGCAGGTCGCGGTACCAAATCCCGGCTATGGCGGCTGCATTTTTGATGGTGGCAAGAATGCTGTAGGGCCGTGTGCTCAGATTTGGGTGCACGTTAAAAAACTCCAGGTGGTTGAAATTTTTGGAGCCCTCGACTACGCCGTTTCTCGCAATCGTATGGTGGTTTTGAAACGTTAGACCCCACATATCAATGAATCAACCGTGAAGTCTTTTCTTCTTGTTCTGCCCACATAAGCCTGATAAATTTTTTTAGCACTTGCTACAAATCTCTGGCTCCCAAGACGAAGAACATAATCTAAGTCATCTTTACTGATAAGAATTCATATGGCCTCCAGAAGTAGTTGTCAAAGTCTTAACACCCTAGTAAATAAATGCGGGAATGGCAAGGCCTTGTCCCCAACTGTGCTTTCTTTCGTGGTGCTTTTTCGTTTATTAAGAATGTTGCGTATACACGGGCACTTTTGGTGCTGTGGAAGGGTAACTTACTATTGGGAAGAGTTGTCTTTCTCTGTAGTGTCTCTCTAAGCTGGCAGGACATTGCTTCATGTGTATTCTAGCGAGTCATGACAATTACAGAGTTATTAAATATCTACTCATAGCTCAGTCAGACATGCTGCATAATTGCATGAAAAGAATCAAATCACATGCACAAGTTACTTATGGCCTGCAGTGAACGGAAGTAAATTATTGATGTGCCTTTTTTTTTGTTGGACACAAGCATCAGAAGCCAACAGACAATGAAGCGGTAGAGGAAATGAAAAATTACTCTTTGGTCACTGCTGCTGCTATTGACACATCAAACATCCCGTAAAATGTGGTGGTGTGTTTACCGAGACGGATCATTTTTGAAAATATGTAATGCACGGCAAGTTAATTTAAGCCAAAAGTAAATGTCTGTTTTTTTTTGCTATAGCTTGCAACAACTGGCAGGGACAAATTGTGTAGCCAAATGTGCACATGCCATCTTAAGGAGGATAACAAACAAACGTTCGGAAACATCTAGGTGAATCAAATAAAGCAACTGCACCTGCGCGTGCACGAATGAAGGCACAGAACCAGACATGTGACGCAGGTCTGGCTCCGCACCATTGAGAAGCAGGCAGCTGTAGCAAAGAAAATGGTGGTAGGTGGCACTGATATGAAGGGGAAGCCCCGGTGTGCAGCCTAGAAGCCGGTGCTCGATCTCAGTTTCAGCACCACTTGCCAACAACAGCTGTAAGAGGCAAGTGTACGCATGTCTGCAGTGACATATGGTGTCCATCTCCCAAGCACAAAACAAACACCCTGCATTTGCTTATAAAGCAAAGTGATACCACTGCAAAGTGCTAAAAAAAAAAGAAGGTGCGTCACTTGAGTGGAACAAATGCAATCGAGGTGGCTCACTGAGCTTGAAACATGTGCCATACACATATAGGTGCTAGAGTGTTTCATCAGCCTCGCACACAGTGCACACTGCATGGTGGCAAGGCTCTGCCAAGGCAATGATGCTAAGCCCCAAGCTAGGATTCATCGAGGACAGCAAGCTTGTTTCCTTGCTTTCCTTGGCAGCCTTTCTATAGCTTACTTTCTCTGAAATTCAAGGGGGATGGGCAAGTAAGCAATGCATATAAACTGTTTCCAAATAAGACTTGATATAATGGAAATATGACTAGTTGGTTCACATTAGCTGATGAAACACAAGAAGCTCAAGTACAAGAACAAAACCACCAGTTTTACGCTTGTTCTGTTTATTTGGTCAGATTTTTTTTTCTTTTTCCAATAAATTTCAGCTGACAGTGTAGCAATCAGCACGTGTTTCCCTCTATAACTTTATATCTTTCGTTAGTGCTACTCAAGACCTAGATGTGGTCACGGCTTTAACAAGTCTCTTTGTGGATGTTGGAAAAATATATGTTCGATGAAATGTTTTGCATGCTCATAGATATTAGCAGTGTAACACACATACAATATATATTGACAAGAAGGCTGTACCCAGCTCTTATTGCACAGCCCAATGTCAGCAATATACTGACCACACGAACATGAAGAAATTGAGTTGCTCGAGAGCATAACCGCTCTAGTCTGGCCATAATCGCTCATGGCAGGAGGAAATACATGCATCAAATTCGCAACCTATCTGGCTACGACTTGGTTTTGATTACCCGTCTGCTCACAAGGCACTGCCATCATAGGGGAAAACTGTATGAAGCTCTGAAAATTAGAAAAAGGAAATAAGTTGCACACTACCTTGACACCATCCAAGTATCCATTTTGTGCTGCACAGAGCAGTGGAGTGCTTCGATTCCCATCATACCCATTCGGATTTGCTCCGGCTTCAAGAAGTACCTTGACACAACTCGAGAACTCTTTCCGAATGGCAACAAAGAGGGGTGTCTGTGCCTTGATATCGGGTAGATCCACTTGTGCATCATGCTTCACAAGATAACGTACCACGGCGCTGTGACCACCTGGATCATGAATGCATATATGTATGATGTAATATGTATGTTCATAGGCAGGTATATTAAATATATTAATTCTTCTAGTCAAACATAACACAGTCCTCCTGGTCTTTTTATTTTCCAGTTCGCACAGAGTAGTGAATGCTTGCAATTCACCTTACGCATACACATAGACATCGGCAGGGTTTTGTTTTAGGTTGTGCGAACCCGTGATGAATCGTGGTGGGGGAGAGCTGGTGTACCTTGGGTGGGGGCAGATGCTGATGTGGCTTGAGAAGGGCAAATGCCCCATTTGCACCCCTTTGCTAACACCCATGTGCATTACAGTGCTACTAGTTTTCAGGCTGTTGGACATGTGTTGAAAAAGAATGATGTAAACGACAAGAGTAAGGAGAAAAAGGTCACGCCTTTACAGGGCAATAAATCTCTTTTTAAGCACCTAGCCTGAATGATACATTTTGTACAGTTCAACAGTAAGCATAGCTATGTGCATTCACTGCTCATTTCTGTCATCTCGTGCTCCCCTTGCCGAAGCATTCCTTCGTGAACTGCAGGCACTTTGAGCATTTCTGTCTGTCTTTCCGTCAAGCCACCTACGACTGGGAGCTCTTGTGTTCATATCTTTAACTTGATTCAGACTAAAACTGGCATGCGAGGGTAAGACACTCTGAGGAATGTTTGGTTACGACACGAATAACTTGAAAATTCTGTTGGGTACGTCGGCAAATATTTTCTTTCTGAAAAGCGTGGAACATACCCGTATAACCATTGGCCGCAGGTATTCACCACGGGTGATTGACAATTTATATTGTTACGCAAAATGAGACGAGACGTGACTATCTGAGAGTGTATTTGCACTGATAGAGATGGAGCATAGCACGCACAGCAGACAGACTAGTCCTCTTTGTTGCCTTTTGTACCAGAATGTCTCACCCTTGATGTGCTAGCTATGTAGAATTGTCTACCCCAGATAGGAGATGACAGAAATTAGTAAACTAAAATCTGAGAGTGTCAAGAAAAACTGACATTAGCCGCGTTCACGCAACGAATGCAAAGGTAAAAAGAAAATCATGATCTTGGCAGGAATTGAATCCAAGTGTTCTACACTGCTTGCTCGCGAACACAGTGGAAATTCTTATAGATTAAATTATAGATAACTTGGTTCGTTAAGAAATGCTTCACATATCTGACAGTGCTGTAGCCTGATACGGCAGGTGTGCACTGAAGTGCGTGCTCCAGGACATGACGTGGTACAGCGTGCGCAGAACCACTAACTCACGCCGTATCTTCGCATAAAGACATGCGCAGACGTGACTATGCACAGGAAGGGGTCCCCCCCCCCCCCTCTCGTGTGCACACCTATGATTTGCTGCTCGGACGTCGACCTATATTGTGCGCAAGCTCAAGCACGTTGAAGCATTGTTATAACACATCTCGCATCCAAAGGGCCCCTGAACCACCCTCAATATCTTTTCAAGTAAACGCGCGCATCGAGATCGGAATGCCGTCACGATCAACAAACCAATCCTCCCGGGCCTTTCTATCGTTGGCCGCGACGTCAACATTCGCGTCTGGGCATATGTCATCGACACAAATTGCCCGTTTGTCTGCTGGAAAGTGCGCGCGCTCGCACAGTGAGGATCACTCGGCCAGGAGAGACGAGGTGACGAATGGAGCATAGTGAACGAATTAAATAGTTACACGGGCGAGGCGGGGGCCTCTTTTACAACATCGAACGCGTGTAACTTGCGGCGCCCTTTCGAAAAATTCTCGCGGCTACGTGTTCGTTGAAGACTCGTGCACATCTGCGACGCCACAACTAAATTTTGAACCCTGGTGGTTAGGGGTCCTTTCAAAATGCGCTGCGCGCCTTTCGAAGGCTCACCAGTAACAGCAAGACGAAGGGGTGTAGCGCCGTACGGTCGCACTCGTCGGTCCCGTTCACCAGGACGGGACTCGAGAAGTTCCGCGAGCTCGCTCAGGCGGCCTTCGAATGCTGCAACATGAACGCAGGTGTCTCCGTCATCGCGGTCAATCGCAAATTCTGCTATGTCGACCATCAGCTTCGATGTTTTGCTTTGGTGGCCGACCAAATACGGAATGCCTGCACGCGCTTTTCGTGTCCGTCGCTGGCGAACTCAAACCACGGCGCGCCAGCGCTCGGAACGCAGAAACCGAAAGTAGAAACTTGATACGGCGATTCTCGGCCAATCAATAATCTAAGTAAGGAAATTAAAATATAGTTTTAATACACATTCGCGCGTATGCCCGCATATGTATGAGATATATACTTCGATGAAACATGCTCGTGCTACTTTTGTACACGCGCTATGAAGGTGCATCTTTAATCATTCTTTATTTCTTTATTATTCTAATCATCGTCACTCGCATGTTTTGAAAATTTTACCGCAAAAACTGCTCTCGGGAGTGAACGCTTGCTGTCGGGGCTTTGACAAAACCAGTGTGACTACAGAGTTAAATGCCAGTAACACCTTCTAAAATACGAAAAAAAAAAAAAGAAGGATGCGCTACTTGTGGTGTTTCAGTTTCTGTTTCCGTTTTGATTGTCATGTGACGCCTCGCGCGTGAGCGATGCGTCTCGTAACGTGTATATATGTGTCAGGATGATATGTGTAAATACGGATTCCTCCGTGTGTGTAAGTAAAGGGAGGGCAGTAGTGCTACCGGCAGGTGGTTAAGTGGTAGGTGTTCTGTGTAAAGGGTAGGCGACGAGCACTCGGACGAGGCGGACGTTCTCGTCGGCGCTCTGCGCCCCGTTGTGTGGGTCGTCGGCGGGCTTCAGTTCAACGCTCCTGGTTCCTCCGCGTCGGTGCCGGGTCCGCCAAGACACAACACTACTGCATGCGACGGCTAGGCCTAGGACCTTTTCCTTTCCCATGGCCCCAGCCGCGACCTTCTGGAGGGCGTGACTGGGGCCAGAGAGGAAAGGAAAAATAGCGTTGCCTTTAGATAGCTTTAGTTAGCGGATATGCATACTCCTATTAAAGTTCATTAAAAGCTAAGCAGCTTCAAACTAGTGGTGCCAAGCCTGATGGAAGTGTGGAACTGAACGGTTTGTTGGTTGGTTCCTAGCTCAACAGCTTGGCGCAACCCACTCCGGGGGATAGGCCATGAATCGAACAGCGCCTTGCTCATTAAACTAATTCACTTCTTGAAGAATTCATTCAGGCTGCCTTGTTTCTAGGTGTCTATAACCTCTTCAACTGTTAATTATCTTTGTTGTCTATGTTTAGTTATATATCTTTTTCTCCCTCTATTTCTCGCTTCCTCTCTTTCTATTAGAATCTAGTCATTTTTTTTCATCTGTAATTTCTTTGTTTATCTTTCTCTATGTACTTGCCTATTTCTTTCCCTCTTTATACATTTTTATTTTTTTTCTCTCACCTATCAGTTATGGTATGCCACGACAGGCTATTAAATTGGCGTTCATGTTCTGAGATAAAGTTAAACAGCCTAAATTAAATTACAGAGCCGAAAGAAAGAATCTCCATCGGTTTCGCCGGCATGCATCAGCAACGTTGATTTGCGCAATTTATCAAGTCTACGACAGCAGTTACGCACTGCAGCAGACGTGGTATCAGAACTTTGTCACGCGTCGGTTTGGCGAACGACTCGTATTGTACCTTAGCTTTACACCGAACCATTTTTTTCGTCCCAGTATAAACATTCGGGTGACGCTACGATGGCCACTGCACGCGCTCAGAGGTCAGTTCACAAACCTTTATTACATCGTTGGTAGAGCGGCACGACGCCGTCGACCTTGGCTCTCGCAGTACTCGCTGGCAAAATAGCGAGAGCTGGCCCAAACATGGTGACATGGACCAACCCCCCACACAGGCAAAACAGCGATAGTTATGCTACGTACTGCCTAGTCACGTGACTTTTGCTTGTGGGCACATGATGGCAACCAGAAGTTTCCCTGTATCGCGCACAGTACATATGAATAGATAGTTGGAAGAACAGTGTGACTGTGTACCAGAGCAACCATAGCACATCTAACTGCACCTAACCAATTGGGAACACACAACGAGCAGACGCTGAACGAGCGCTACATCACTAGGCGCCGTTCAACTTCACCCGCACGCATTTTTTGCTTCTATGCATGGCGTGGTGCATCGCATTTTTTTAATTTGCATGTACGGTGTAGTACATAAGGCAGATAAGAGTAAGGCCCACACCTCGTATTTTCGTACAAAGTTTAGTGGTTAACATAGCGGGTGGCAAGTACCTTAATAATCTTAACTGTTTGGTCTTTCGACGGCAGTATTCTGTAAATAAATAGCTTGAACTTTCTTTTATTTAAGTTACATTGTGAATCACTTTTTATTATGCCCCCCTGCTTGGTCTTTCGACCGCAGTATTCTGTAAGTAAATAACTAAGAGGTACAGATTGAAGGTGCTACAGGCCTATGTGGATATGTCGAGTAAAAAATACTTTGTTTACACGTCTTATAAAGTCGTGAAACCACAGTATACATTACTGATGAAAAACTTCACAGGGAAGGTAGGCAAGAAACAGGCTAGAGATCAGGCAGAGGGGCAATATGGTACGAGTTGTATGAGTAGTAGAGGGGAGTTACTAGTAGCGTTTGCAGGTTGCAGTAATTTATGGATCGCAAATACCCTCTGCTAGTAACAGGAAAACTTCATACTTGCACAAATCACGCACTGCTCATCCATGATCTGTTGCAATCTTCATGTTGGCCTCTACGGCACAACTGTTTACATAAGCATCACATTTCAAGGTTTTCACAGTTCTTTACTCCTGCCTCAAATCAGTGTTCTTGCGCTTCTTGCTGCTGCCACGAAATGTAGAGAACGTAAGCGTGGGCCTGCCCAACACACTCATTTCATGAATCTCTTCTGACTGAAATTTCATTTTTGCTGTTTGTTTCCCACTTGCAGTCAAGTTCAGGAGGGCTGAGTCGTGGTCAGAAGATGCTGAAACGAAACAGTATTCATTCTGAACATTGTAGTTGCACTATAACGTAGGCTTGATATCTATTTCACTAATTATGCCAAATTTGGAAGACATGTACGTTGAAGGAGGTGAGAAACAACCATGTCGATTATCAGCATGCAGATAAACACAATTAATTTCAAGGCGAGAAGTCAAATGCCTTGGAAGAATGGCTCGACAAAGCTTGCAAGTGTTCTAAACTGTGCAGCAGGTTTGGGGAAAATGAAATAATTAAGCCATAAATCAATAACCAGCCACACAATTGAGCATTTCATGTCTGTGAGAGCAACTTGAGGAGCAATCAACAGTTTCACAAACAAAGTGAATAGATCATATCTATAGCATTATGTTCATTGTTGAATGATTATACTGACTACACCAATTATAGGTCTCACAAAGTGGTTAACAAAAGAAAACAAAAGAAGAAGTGCTCAAGAGTATGCCAGCATCCAAGACACCTTTGACAGAAAACTTGACCAAATGAAAACTCTGGGGAGCTTTAGGAATAGAGCAAACAAATAACAGAGGGTTTGCAGAATTTCAAACATTGTAATAACCTCTTGCTTTTGTGTATATGTATGTGCATGCTCTGTCCGCATGCTTCTGTGTACCTGATAATTTGCACCTCCTAACTTCCACTAATTCAGGATCTCCCTTTAAACCAAATAGGTATATTTGGAATGCCCACAAAAGGTGCAAAACCATATACTGGCTTCTATATATCAGCCCTAGGAAGCCATCTTCATTATTTTCAATGGCCTAACATATCTTGGTTTTTGACAACGTAAAGCATACACATGGTGTTATGCTGTTCAATAAAAGCTAAGCAAATTGTTCATCAATAAGCAATGCACTTCGGTCACCACATCACTCACACGGAGGCCCATCCTCAGAGCCACCAGCAGTGCTGACAGGTGGCCATGACGGGTCACGCATAATATCCCGTTCCAATTTCTCGTATATGCGACGGGGACCCCTCCAGTTATGAAGCCGAGGCATGACAAAGTTGAACACAAACTGTTGAACCAAGAAAACCTGAAAGAGAAGGTGCCAATGTGCATACAGTTATTCTGCAGAAACTATTTGCAATATTAAGCAAAAAAAAAAGAAGGGGAAGGTGTCACGGGTTCGTTCCTTTGCCACAACTTAATGAGGGTAAAGAAAGCATGAGGAACATTGTCAGTGGTTTTAAGTACAAGTGTGGAGTTATGACAAATGGAAATGAGTTAAGGTGGACAAAAAAAAAAAAAGCTTGTCAGTGAGAACGGAACCTACTACTGCAACGCATATCAAAGGTTGGGGTTTTGGCACCAATCGACGGCAAGTTTATTATCTTTGTCTTCCTCTTCAATTCACTACTATTTATGTCATTATTGCCTTACTAGAGTAAAACAATACAAGTAATGTTCCCTATGCCTTCTCTGGCAGTGCTGCATGTTGGTTTTAGGTTACCTACACTACTGTTACCCAAGAAGAAGAAAGGTGGAAGCACTTTAACATGACAAAATCGCTTACCTCCCATAAATATGAAAAAATAAAATTCAGCAAAGAGAGGACGAAGAGAAATGCATGGAATTCGTACTGTGGGGCCTCCAAAAACTGTAACAGAGAGGAGCGAAAACAATCTTAAGAGCTTTTCACGTCAATAAGCCACACATTAAAGAAGACAAAGAAGAAATCAAGCTCTTTCCCAATTGTGTGCAGTACCACTCTTGTTTAAAAAAAAAAAGGAAAACCTACAAGTAAGATATCTGACAGTGAGATGCCCTGTGCGTGGTGCTTTCAAAACATGAATAATGCTGACCAAAACTGCAGTCTGTGGCAGTTCAGAGAGAAAAATTAAATTGCATTATTTGGATGAAGCATAATTTTTACTGTTGCACCATTAGCTGCTGCATCATGGAACAATTAGAAAAATAATCAATGCTACAAAATAAAGCATTATGTTCACAAATCTGTAGCTCCACACTGATAATCAATGATGATGCAATTTCGTAAATAGCACCTCAAAGAGACATTAGTTTGCAGCACACAAAATTTTTATACTGTTTACAGGGAGGCTTTGTTAATGTTATACTCTCAAGTTATTGCTATACTTTAGAGTAGACTATATTCATTAATTTCATTTTATTGACTGTATACCTTCACTTTACGAAATTCTGATAGTTTATTCTATTCTTGAGTTAGAGATAATTTCACACAACTTTTTTTATGCCTTTTAATTTAAGCAATATTTTTGTAAAAAAAAAACTGATGGCTGAAGTAGCCAAATCTTTCTGCAATCGATAGACCATAACTTTTTCTTTTATATGCAGCAAATATCTTCAAATAAAGAGTGGTGCTTTTGTGAAAAAATTATGAGTTATTTAGAATTTTAACTTATACCAGAGTGAATAATTTACTGTCCTTGTAAATTAATTCATTTGGAACACAGAACAACAAAGCCCAAACATTTAAAATATGTACTAGTACTGCTTAAGAATATATCACTTCCAATACAGAAGCACTAGTGGAGACTTAAGTATTGTGTCATAAAACAACAGTTGGAATGCTAAGCAAGAAATGACCACACGTAACTAAATTGTTTTTGTTTAGTGTTTTGATTTGCACAAGATATATCTAGATTCCTAACTACCAAGTGAATCACTGCTTAATAAAAATTACCACAAGCAACAGTATTCACTGATGAAGCTTCACCGCCTACTTTTTCTGAAACGCCAGCACTATCTAGCACCACAGGTTTCAGAATATACGCACGAGTGAGACTACTTCCACAGCTATGTTATTCTGAATTTATTAAAATTATCTCACATAAGAAAGTGTCATATTTGGCAAACTAGCAAACAGGATAAATTATACATATGCTGCTGTTGGCAATCAAAATATTGTTCAGATGAAAGAGAGCAGTAAGACAAGTTCGTGTAATGGATATTAATGTCTTCTGCAGACTCGGGCAGTGCTACCTAAACAAAGAAATCTTAGCATTTTTAGAGGACATCCAAACAATGTGACAGCAGGATTTATGAAGCGGTGTCTAAATTGCTTCACTTACATTAATGTATTTTCGTATGAACTCCGCAGGGTACAAGATAATATATGACACGAGAACAAACTCCACTGCGACAACCACAAGGTACATTTCTGGAAAAAAAAAAAAAAAAACATCATTAATTCAAGTTCCCATTGTAAAATGCTTTGAATAAAATCGTGCCTCTAGGACGAGCAAGTACTTGCGTACTGTTTGATATGATGCTTTTCCTGAAGGGAAAACCAGGAGAAAAGATGACTGCAGCAATCACATAGGACATGCAGTTGACGCTTAAAACTGCAGTGGCGACATACGACTGCGGTGGCTTGTGTACGAAGTCTCTGTTGAACACAAACGGCTCGTACCTGCAAAGGGTGGCAGCGATCAATACAATTTATTTTGTTTTTGCTGTGCATTTGTGCTGCTGCTACATAAATGCAAAATGTAGTGAGATAACGAGAACAATTACGAAGCTATGGAGAATGCCGGCAGAGATTGTGAAAATTGTCGTGTAGGCCGTGATTCTCAGCAAAATAACAGACAAATACCTATGGACATCTGCAGACTGCTGAAAAATGAGGTTGGTGGCGGTTCTTTTCATAATATAATTTTTCACCACAACATGGTGAAATGTCACATAGCATGTGTAACATGAGTACTGTTAAAATAATGCAGCAAGGCCAGGCGTAGTTCTCAGCTCAAGGTCCTCTTCCTATATCCTGGCAGGTTTCTATATGGGGTCGATTTCCCAAATGACATTAATTACTCAACTCTAATTAATTGTCTCAGCCCCCAGCACGACAGTGATACATGACAGCCTGTCAAGGCTTTGCAGGACAGCTGCATACATGTGCTCTCACTTTGAAGAGATTTTTTATTATGGTATTTCATCGGGAAAGGTAGTAAAGGAAGTAGCGCTAAAGTTTTTTTTTTTAGTAAGCTAAAGTTTGCTGACTCATAAGCTCACTGAAGTGCAGTTACCACTTGCTGTAACAAATACCAGTGAGCTGATAGAACAGTACTGCATGCAATCTTCGACTTCAATGTGGATTAGAGCACACAAAATTTTGCCACATAATTAAATGTATTCACATGTCTAATTCGTTTATTAAAAGAAACCTCAGGCTTGACATTTATGTGCATTTGAAGAACAAATTATATTTTTGGGGTTTATTGTGCCAAAACAACAATGTGATTACGAGTCATATCTTAGCATAGGATTTCAAATTAGTAACTGGGTTGTTTTGATGAGCACTAATATGTTTAATGGGCGTGCAAGCATATCTTCGTTTAGTTCCTTCAAAGGCGACCAGTACAAACGAAATCATGCACTCAGCAACCCATTGCCAGAACAACTGGCAAGCTTTCTAGATCACTGTAATAAATAATACTTACCATGGCTGCTGAATGCAGAAGATGTAAGCCACAATGTGAAATCCAGTTTGTATGATCACAAATGACAATATTGAAAAGATAGACACAACATTAGAAATGCTTTTAGGAGGAGCTCTCCTGGTGAGTGCAGGATATGGTCCGGTTGTTCCAACTAAAACAAAAGAGGTGAAAATGCTCAGCTAAACCCAGCAGTCTTAAAAAGATTCGCTGCCATGTGCTGAACTTTTCGAAACATACTCACATATCATTGGCGGAATGAGACTGATGAACACATCGATAAAAACGTAAGCTCCTTCGGATGGCTTTTGTCCATCCTGAAAACAATGGACATTTCATGTATCTTGCAAAATATGCTTAGAAAACTGACACAAAATTAGTCTCACTAGTTTGCTTGATTGATAGCTGCTAACACCTCAATTTCTTAAGCATGCAGAGAATTAATTATAACATTTTTGATGTGACTAATTAGAAAACTGTTCAGCTTCTTGCAATAGGGTTTGTTTACAAGTACATTATGTACATACACTCAAACGTCAATATAACGAATCCAGGTATAACGAAGTAAATGGAGAATAGTCTTGCAATAAATTTAATGTTAGGAATAAATCTTTATAACAAATTTTTGGATTTAGTTAACTTATTTTAGTGTAAAACACAATTTTGTTACAGTGAGGTTTGAGTGTAATAAAAACTTAGGGGGGAAAGGTTTAGGTTGTATCGCTAATGCGCGAGTTAAAAGCTGCACTGCGGTCCCTTTATTAAAAGCTTTAGACATGGAGATAAAAAAAATTGCCCGCAGCTTCCCTCGGGGGAACACTGAGGAGGATGCGGACCATATAATTGGTTAACGGGGTGTTAAAGTGCGACTTACTTGGGTCGATGGCTAAATTGGTTAACGTGGTTGTGAAATGGGGTGTTAAATTGCGACTTACTTGGGTCGATGGCTAAATTGGTTAACGTGGTTGTAGGAGGGGGTGTTAAATGAGTGAACACGTACACACGTATGCGAAAGGGCGGCGCTGGTCGAAGGGACGTCGATCATTGTGTTTGTGGATTCGTTGGAATTCATTTCACCGCGACCTTGGACGTCGACGCGCCGTACAAACCAACCTACGAGCGGCAACTGAGCGAGCGAGCGCCGACCTTGAGTATATATACAACACGACGGCGCATGCACTGTCAGCTGTTGAATGTTCTCGAAGCGCGACGCCACATGCGCGTCCACTGGAGAATCAGGAGAATTGTAGATGTCGAACGCGGTGTGTAGAGGAGGAAGGGTGCACAGATGGTGGAGGAGTGAAGCGCGCGCGGTGTGTAGAGGAGGAAGGGATGCACAGATGGTGGAAGAGTGGGCGACGGCGCGACGGCGCATGCGCGCGCGTCAGCTGTCGAATGTTCGAGAAGCGGTGCGGACGGCGCGGACGGCGCGGACGGCGCACTACAAGGCGCGAGTATAAGATGCTCCGCATCTAAAAGGGAGATGTGGTCAGAGGGACAAGAGGCACTGCACAACAGAACCTACAGCAGGCACTGAACAAAAACAATGGTTTATACAGCACGAGTCCACATGATTCTTGTGAGGCTTACGATCACTGGATCAGATTGACAGGCATGTGCGTCAGCAATGTAGGGCCACCAGCTCCAATTTTTATGACATGCAGACAGAACTTATCAAGAAATTCTACACCAAGAAACCACGCTCCATTTGGTGCACATTTTGAAATAGCCAGCTTTTAAATAGGTCAGTACAAATTCGGAACGAAAATTCGAGCAAGGAACTGAGTGTTATATTGGTACTATCAACTATCAGACGTGCATGCAAAAAATATGGATAGAAAATTTTTCACTACATTCACTCAATTGTAATGCAATAGGTGACTTTCTAGAAAGAAAAAAAAATGAGAAAAATAAATAAATAAATAAATGAAGAATTGTGTGTATCATTGCATTTTTTGGACAACTTGAATGTTCCTACTTGATAGTAATGTGAGGGTCAACTGCAGGTTGCAAGAATCTGAAAACAAAAACTAGCACTTTTTTCAAGTAAATGTGGCACTTCAGTACTCCTTAAAAAAAGAAGGAGAGGGGGGGTGGCATGCTATGATCTACAGCGCTAAAATAGTTCAACAAGGTAGGGTGTGTGCATGCATAGGACTAACTTTCAAGTTCTCTGCTATCATCCACTGCAATGGGTATTGCTTTAAAACCTTGCCCTGCTAAGATAGGACAATAGAAATCTGGTACATAAAAAAAAGGACATCAAGAAAAATCTACTGAAGAAAATGGTCAACTGGAAAGAAATGTTTCTGATGTTCTTAATTTGGATTGAATAAATTTAGAAAGTGGTGCAAACTGGAAAGTTGACAACAAAGTGCTACAGTGTAGTGGATCTGCACGGAATATCTTTGGGAATCGTAAGGGAAAAGCCAACTTTCACACTTGCCTCCTTATAGCCTCACCTCATTAACTATCTATATGCATCAGTTTATATTCAGCTGGTTCTAAAAATAGTTTTTCTGTTTGTTTGTTTGCTTAGTTTACTAGTCTTATATACACCTTTCATGTCTTTTGAATAGACTTATGTATACTGAAACTCAGCAGACCATTTCATTTTATGCAATTTTCTCAGTTTCTCCTGCAGCCAATCGTCACTATATATGCATGCTGCCATTTCCTCTTGTTAATAGAAAGCTTGGGGATTTTAGGGGCAAGGCACAGTGACCAACACCTCCACTTACCCAAAACAAGAACAGTGCTCCCACTAGAAGCACGAAGCAGTAGCAGACCATATAACAGAAAGCTCCAAACGTTGCAGCCAAGGTTGCCCGGCCTTCCCTATGGTATCAAAGAGAACAAAAAACAACCCCTCAAAAAGAAACAAAGAACGCAGTTTATATTCCAAGCAATAGATGAGCATAAAGAAACTTCTGGAAGCCCAGTGCATTAACTAGTCTACATGTGAATACCGTCAGCAAAGATAGTGTTCTGTGCATGCACTATCAATTGAACTGCTGTTAAAAAACTTTCTCAATGGTCGTGCCAGTCAAACCCCGAGTTCAAAAAAGATAAGTGTTGCACCAATCAGTACAGTAATACTATACAAAATAATATGGTAGAGTCCCATCTGCTCCCCCTGTCCCTTCAATTTACCTAAAAATGCGAGATACCAATATTTACAGATGTGGTTTAACTATCTTATATGAGCAGTACAGTTAGAGGAAAGGGCCAATGATTTTTTTGTGTGTGTGTCTACAGTGGTGAAAGCATTTTACACACAGGTTAAGGGTTTAGTTTTACATGTGCCAACAAATGAATTCTTTTATTTACTTTACTGTGCAGAGTTACAAGAAAGATACAATAAAAACCTAAGTAAGCATTACGTAAGGTGCTATTAAAGCGAAGCTGAAGTACTTAAAAAAATGACTTAAGAGCGTGTAAGAACAGTTTAATCCCTGCCAAATTCGAAAAGTGATGAGAGAGTCAAGTATCACTTTTTGTGAAAAAACAGAGGCTGTGACCGCCATGTTTTTGAGACTCCGAGCGAACGAGGTGGTGTCATGCTCGGTATGCTGCATTATCTACAACAGTAGAACTGCTGAAGCAGTGGCCTCCTCGATTAGTTCCAGCCACGACACGTCATGAGTTAGTCACGGATGTCCATGGTTAAGGTATGCAAGACGCTTTCTCACGTACCGCTCGGAACACAGAACGCATTTCTTGCTCCGCTTACGAAG